AAGATGAATCGGGCTCCGCTCTTGCTGCCCAGCTCCTGCCACTTCCCCTTGAACCACTTGATGGTGGGCTTGCCCGGGAGCTCCTTCCCGTTCACCTTGGCCAAAATTACCGTGTCCTTCCCTGGCAGAGGGAGGCAGTGAGGAACCCAGCTCTCCAGAGAGAACCCTGAGCTCAAGACCGAGCCCTCCTTCCTCAGACACAGGGGTCCAGGCTTCGCTCTCCTCCCTCTGATACGGAACCCTCCCCAGCTCTCCTCCCCCAGACCCCAGACCTCCCTCTTCCTTCAGATCCAGGGGTCTAGACTGAACCCTCGTCCCTCAGACTTGTATTCTAGACTGTTTCTCTTCAGTGCTCACCAGTCTCCACCGACACAGAGTCCGGCTTTTTCAGGAAAATGCCTGCGGGCTCCTCTGCAGTTGGGGATTGGTCCTCAGGAGGGACCTCTGCTGAGGAGAAAGGAGTAGGGTGTGAGCAGTGGTCTAGGGGAAGCAGGGGACCTCTCTGGGAAGGGTGCTGGAGTCGATAGAAAGCCCTCTGCTCAGAAGACAGAGACTATAGGTGTGATTTGGATTTTTATCCAGACGCCATAAGTTTTGCTAGGCTCCCTCAGCCCCTTTGGGCCTCAGTTTCCCCACCTGTGGACTAGTAGCTTATGGCCAGGATGGTCCTGAATGGACTTTCAGGTAAAGGACATGTAAATATGGACACAGCCTTTGGGGACTGGGCAAGAATTACTTGATACATCACTTAGGATGAGGTGCCAGCCTGGGTGGGGTGCTGGGGAGCCAGGAAGGACCTTGGCTCTCACAGCTACAGGAAAGGGAACAGGAAAGGCCAGTGTGCAGAGGGACGGGGCTCGGGAGGCACCTCACCTTTGGGGGGCTCTGCAGAAGCCTGCTTAGCAGGAGCTTCCTTTGGCGCATCCTTGCCTTTGGGAGCCTTTTTGGTTGCTGTAACACAGGAGATGTTGAGACCAGCATAATATGGTGCTCTCCTCCCCCAGAATCCAGAGTCCTCAGAACCAGGGGTCCAGGCTTCAAACCTTCTCTTCCAGACCCAGGATCCCAGCCAGGCCCTCCTCCCTCAGATGGAGGTAGTGCAGATGGTGGGGTACAGACTCCCCATTACAGGCATGAATTGATTCTAACCCTGAGTGTAGCATCAGGGAACCTCCCCTTGTAGCCATGCCCCAGACTCTGGCCGCCAGCCTGACCTTTCAGGTTTGGGGTATAATTAGCCTTCCCCTGGGATGGAAACTGGACACTAGTGCTGACCACAGCAGTCTCCCATGTGGTGAGTTTGTGCAAGGGGGCTGATGTCTACCTCAGCCTGGCTGGGCTGACCCCAAGGGAAGGTGATGCCAGACTTCGTGTGCAATGCCCACTTCCACAAAAAGAGAAAGCCCCAGGCAGTATACAAATTGCCCCCCCCCAGGAAGACATCTAACTGCACACGGAGAGAGACTGAGGTGCTGGGACAGGGACAGTGCTTGCCAAGGCAGATGGGAGGTTCTGGATTCCATCCCCATCATAGCAGAAAAAAGAGGGTTCCACCCATGGAAGAGAGACCCATAATTCCTGCACGGAAGCCCAACTTTCACACCAAGGGGGTTCTCATTTTTACACAGAAAATTATTGTTCCATGTGCATGGACTCCTACTGTGTCCACAGAAACGCTCCATGATCTAGGAAACCCCCAATCTTCACTCGGTGGAGAGACTCAACTACCTCTAGGGTGTTCTCCCACTTGGAGAGGACCCTATCCCTAAGCCAAGCCCCAGCAGTGTACAAGCAAGAAAAGGAGCGCCGGAGTGTCGGGGCTCATGCCTGCCACCCAGTTCTTGGGAGGTTGAGGCAGTAAGAGTGGGACTTCCAAGCCAGCCTGGGCTGCAGTGTGAGTTTGATAGCAGCCTGGAGGGCTGGAGAAGAGGGGAGAGGAGGAGGAGAGAAAAAAAAAAAGGATGAAAGTGAGGAGGAGAGAGAGAGAGAGAGAGAGAGAGAGAGAGAGAGAGAGAGCCAAACCCAATTTATAATTAGGCAGCTGAGATTTCTATCCTAGATGGGTCTCCCAGTCCCAGAAGAGGGGGGGTGACTCCTGACCCTACACAGACATGAGCCCCCACCACCCTGCACTAGGAAGGAACCCATCTGTGCACAGAGAAGGGGCCCCTCTTCCCCAAGCAGGGAAGGAACCCACACTCTACCTAGATGTAGGAACAGGCAAAGGACGCCCTCCTCCCTCAGTAGAGACATCCCCTTGTCTACAGCCCATCTCCCACCCCACCCCCAGGAAGGTTTCTGGCCAGCCACCTGGTTTAGCCTCAGGCATCTCAGCGACCTCCTCCAACCGCAGTGAGTGGCTCTAGCCAGGCCCTAGCGGGGACAGGTGGGCCCCAGGAGGAGCCCTTTATGGAGGCTCAAGACTCCCAGGAGGCAGCGCAGGGCCGCCCCACATTCCTCCCGCATGCTCTAAAGGGCGAGAAATAGCTAGTAGACAGAGAGGGGTGGCAGCGTGCCAGGGCCCCAGTGGGGATGGGCTGGGGGAGCTTGGACACCTGAGTCTGAGGAGGTGCAAAGGTGCTTGACCTCAGAAGGGGGTAGGGGGTCTGGGACTCCACAGGGGCCCAGATCCTTAGGTCGTGTAGAAATGAGGGTGGGGGAGAAGGGGACAGAGCCCAAGGTGAGGAGAGGGGGGGAAGCAGAAAGGGCACTTGTGTCCCCGGGGCAAAGGAGAAGGAGAAAAGAAAAGGAAGACAGTAAAGGAGGAGGGGAATCCTGAGTCCTGGGAAGGGGAGGAGGAGGAGTGTGGGAAGGGGGCGACTAGGTCCTGGGAGGAGGACGAGAAGCAGGGCTGCGGGCCTCAGGTGCTAGGGCGCGGGAGGGGTGGCTTACGGAAGCCTTTCTTAGCCAGCCCGAGTCAGGAGTTTTCTAGAAACTAGAGCCGGGAGAGAGTCCGGTTTCCCCGCGTAGGCAGGATGGGTGCCTGCCGGGGGGAGGCGGTCTCGGTGTCCCTCCCGCCCTGTCCTGGTGCGGGTCGCCCTGGGAGCGGCCTGGCCGGCTGCCGGTCACCGGCCGGGTGCAGAGAGGCCGGGAAGGCCCTGGAGGGCTGCCCGGGCCGGCTCCTTCCCAGCACCAGAGAGCGGAGGAGGGGGTAAGGAGGAGGAGAGAGGCTTGGGGTACCAGAGGTGTGGCTGGCCCAGGAGGGTGCCAGAAGAAAGGGCTGGGTCAGGGCCCCGGGGGAGCCAAGACAAGCCCCATCCCCTCCACTTTCCAAAATCCCCTGACAGCCGGAAACCTCCCCGCCTCTGGGGGCATTAAGCCAACCAGTAGGCTGTGACGCCTTTATTGCCCAGCCAACTTCCACCTAGTCCTGAGGAAGCAGGCAAGTTGCTCAGTAACCCAGTATAGAGTGGCACACCACTGTATACCGGAATTCCAGGTTGGCGTGACTTCGAAGCCAGCCTGAACTACAGTGTAAGAACGATCCTATCTTAAAAAAACAAAAACGAAAAACCCAACTAACGCACAAAAGCCAGAAGCCTGGAATGGAAGGGTGAACAGAAAGGAGAGCCAGGAAGCTCAGTGATTTCACTATTCAAGACCCAGGCTGGCCCACCGCCATTGTACCTTGGCGTTCATCCTCTCATCTCCCCCCCTTTACTCTCAGTCTCAGGACCAGTGGAGGGTGGGGCAGGGCCTGATAAACGGTCCCAGGACAGCTGTAACCTTGATTTAGTATTTTATTTATTATCCATGTAGAGTGACGATGTTGGCTTTTGAAGAAAGAATTTTATTTGGTGCCAGCTTAGCCTTGGCCACATAGACATCTGGGTCTTCAGGATCCTTCTTCCTCGTCCTGACCACCTGAGGGTGAGTTCAGGTGGGTCACAGGTTTATCAGGTTGCAAGGAGGCCCTCTTCCTCCTCTTTCTCAAGCTCAAAGCCTTCGGTTCTGGTTCTGCCATGGAGGCTCAGTGAGAACCTCACAGTTTGATCGGGCTTAGCCTGCAGCTAGCTGTACCCAGCACTTGAAAGGCGGGAGAGCGTCCTAGTTTGAAAGACTACTGTAAAAGAGTGTTTTCCCCTCAAGAAAACACCTGCAGGGACTTAATTTGCCTGCCTTGTGGGTGGGGGGTGACCAGCTTTACAAGTCTGGTTAATGATGGCATGGGGCAGGCCGGGTGTGGTGGAACTCCAGACACTGAGGCAGGAAGATTATTATGAGTTTGAAGCCAGCCTGGGCCACACAGGTAGACCCTGACTTAAGAAAAAGAAAAGAAACAATTTTATGATGGTGCCAGCAATTTGAGCACTCTGGCTGAATCAGGAGCTCAAGGTCATCCTTAGCTATGTAGTGAGTTCAAGGCCAGCCTGAGCTACATGAGACCCAGCCTCAAAAATAACAGGCCGGTACCAGCCTTGACACACCTGCATCTCCGCCATACACCCCAAATTGGCCAGGTGCTAGAATGATCCTCAAATACAACATACAGCAGAGTCAGTATGTGAACTCAGGGCTGCTGAAAGCCTAGGGATGCTAGACAACACATCCCCTATGATCAAAGGACCCCAGGAGAGCCCAGCCTTCACCGAACATCCCACCCCTACCCAACAAATCATCTCAAACATGGATCCCAGAGGGTCCAAGGGATAGCTGAGGCAAGAGGATTGCCACAAATTTGAGGACAGCCTGGATTACAGAGTAAAACTTTGTCTCAAAAAGGAAAAGTCTGTTGTGGCGGTGTTCCCCTGTAATCCCAGCACTTGGGAAGCCTAGGCAGGAGGATTGTCACAAGTTGGGGGCCAGCCTGAGCTACACAGTAAGACACTGTCTCAAAGTTATGGACACAAAGAAAAGTCATAAATGGCACAGAGTTCTCAAAGGGCTCCAGACATAAAGATATAACTAGATCTCAGATC